TATGGGAGATTAAAGATTTCCTAATGGGTTTTAGGCAGACCATACATCCATTATGAAACTAAAGAATCGTTGAACAAGAGTTGTATACTTGTTAAGTAAGGATAATACAATAGAAATTACCAAAGAGTTTTATCTTATTTCGCGATAAGACAAGAAAATACTATAACTACATTTGGTATAATCTTATCTAACGAAAATTGCTGTGAACTGTCAGAGATTTACACTTCAAGTAGATTTTAAATTATCTTATATGTCATTACGTCATTATGGGAGATTAAAGATTCCTTAATCTTTTAGGCAGACCATACAACCATTATGAAACTAAAGGCTCGTTAAATAAGAGTTTTATACTAGTTAAGTAAGGACAATACAATTGAAATTACCAAAGAGTTTTATCTTTTATGTTTTTTCTTACCTGGCTAGAGCCATTCTAACATGAGAGAGCCCTCCAAGAGGCAACGCCAGGGTATCCACTTTGAAGGTTTTCTTCTACAACTTCCCACACGGAACTCAAAGGGAAAATCAAAACTTGTGCTTTGATTTCTCCGACTTGCTAATACTTTTATTACTTGATATTTCTTATGATATTATAGATATTTCTTGTTTTTGGCACTTAATGGAATATTTTTTAAGAGGTCTGGACTTATTTGTAGCACATTAACGTCATTTTGATTTGTAATTTAAAGAAGATCTGGTTAGGTTTGAGATACATTTAGTTAAGTTTAACTAACAACGACAGTACGCCTTGAAATATGCAACGTTTTTTATCAAATACCTCGGCGAACAAAGAAAAACGCGATAAGTTTAAATGAAAAGAACACCGGGAAATTTTATCACATTCAATTGTGAGACGAACGTGGTTGACCATATAACGACCAGGCTCTGTACAACCCGTCGCATACGTGATATTTGCACGCGAAATTATCAAAAAAGCCAAACGGCACACAAATATTATCGCGTCTCTCACTCACTCACTCACACAGCGAAAGAGAAGGGTGAAAAAACCAGCGTACAATGTTCAATGCCAAATCAAAATAAAAATAAAGCCAGCAACAAAAGATACTGAAAAAAACATCGAAAAAGAAACAAAATAAATATGAGTGATTCAAGTTATCAGCAGAATTCGGTGTGATAAGCCAAATTAAACAAAGACTTTTGTGTAGCGATAGCCCTATCTCTCTCACTCGCCCACTCGACAGCAGTTGCACTTGTCTCTTTCTTGACAGCATTTGCACATGGCTCTCGCTAGCCGGCATTAAAAAACGCTCAGCCTCGGCCAATAAGTAACGAAATCAATAAATACTAAAATGCGAAAGAAAAAGCGAAGAGAAGGCAGCAGCGCTTCCGCAGCTGGCCGGCAAAATAATCAGTGCAAAAGCAGCTTTGGAGGTCACCACTGACGCCCCAAGACGCGCGCTACTAGAAGAAGAGACCCTCTCGCCAGCAGAAGAATCTTTTGCTGCAAGAAGAGACTCTCCAAAAACTACACTCAAGAAATAAGAAACAAATCCAATATGAGAGCATGACGGATGGAGAAACTAACGAGCAAAAAAAAAAACTAAAACAAAAACCACACACTAAATTCCATTCCATAGTCATGAACGTACAAGGTTCTTCCTATATCACTCGATTCCACTTTTATACATACAAAAACAATATAGAAAAAAGTAAAGCAAAACCAAAAAAAGCTCTCAACCTGCGCAAGTGAAAAAGCTACCATTTTGTCTTTGCAAACTCAGAAAAAAGCTGCGCCGGCGTTTGCTCGCTGACCTCAGCTGCTTATTTGTCCGTAAGAGCAAGCGAGATGGCTGTCACAAAGGAGCGAGAGGGCAAACAAAGTTCTCTCATTTATAAACAATAAACAAAAATATTGGGCAGGGGGCGGGGGAGGGCAGCACATGTTTTTAATTGAACTGAACGGACAAACAGAGCTTTTTGCAAGTCGAAACATGTGTAATACACCAGAGCTAGCCTTCTCTTTCTAGCTCTTTTCAAAATGTCAATGCTATTTCGGTTTGTTTTTTTTCTGAAACCACTTTTTCTGCCCGTCTGGCAACGCTGATGCTTGAAAAGCTTTGTTTTTTTTTAAACAAATAGAAATTAATATAATTTTAATCAAATTCGAAAAATGTGAGATTTGCGTCACAATCAATAGAAGGAGACAGTGGTCTATTTGCAGGGGTGTGTTAGAAAGAGAGCGGCCACAATAGATGGAAAGAGAGAGCGCAAGCCTGTGTGCCGGGTGTTAAAAAGCCGACTCTACCCAAAGATATAGAAAAAGTTGCCTTGCTTTTCAGCTTCTTTGCTCGCTTTATTCTCGAGTTTCAAGCTTGAGGTTGGTTTGATTTCCATATAGCTGTGTATATAGCCTAAAACATTTCGAAGGGCGTTAGATTGAGATTGAGGAAGTTGTTAAGGCCTGTCACTGTCGTTGTTTTAGTTGTTTTTGTTGCCAAAGCTCTTTTGTCATTCACTTTGTGGGTTTAATTGCGCGTGTTTTTGAACTCTAAATGTGTTTAATACATTTTAAAGTTTACGTCTTTAAGATTAAGGTCACTCGTTTAAAACCGCGCGATATTGAGGAAAGTAAACGTTTTTTGTCAACTACAGAAATTCTAGAAACACTTTGGTTACGCCTGGGCATTTACCGTTGCGAATTGTGGGTGTTAAATGGGAAAATCGGTTAGCAACACAGATGCGAATTATTTTTCCGTGAAAATCACACACAAACTACTACTCGCTGCGCGCAGCAGCTGACGAATGAAGCTTTTTTCTTAATATATATTTTTTGTTTTGCGTTTGTTTTGCTCTTGCCGGAAAGCTTTGGATAGAGAGAACCGGAGCTTTGGAGACCAGCATTTATAGAGAGCGAAGAACCACAAACTTAAGATTGTTATATATAAATAGTTACGAAGAGATAAGATACGGTAGATAGTTAGGATTGTTTGATTTTTAAAGAGAAAAATTACAACAAATTATATTATTGTTAATGTTGTAAAATGTTTCCGCTGGAGGTGTTCAAAAGAGTTTGTTGAGAAATATAGTTCTTGGTATTTTCATATGGAAAAAATCTAAAACTTCTGAATCTAGTATTTTATGATTATAATAAATATATCATTGCATACTTTTAGGCATCTGGGAATGCGATTTCAAATCAGATATTTCAACAAGAAATTCCAATAAGATATAATATTGGGTTAGATAAAGAATCGCAGGTTTCTTAGGACCAATAATATGGTATTTTATTGGTTTGTTGTAGTTGTACAATCTATCTATTAAAAGTAAATATTTAAATACCAACTTTATAAATTTACCTATATCACATTTTTGAATACTGAAAGCACACAGATTTAGCTAACAAAAAGCCAAGTTATCAACACTTTGAAGAACCAAGACGAAAGCTCAGAGCGGCATGTTTGATGGCGGTGGCTGTTGGCTCTCAAGGCCCTTATCAAGGCTATTTACAGGGGAGCAAGTCAGCAGCTTATCAGATAGAGATGGAGAGAAAGCTAATCCCCAAGAATTAATGACTTAATAATTGCCGCTACCGCTGTTCAATTGAAACCAATGTTTTGCACTGACCGCTCAAGTGATCCCAAACTAATTGCAGAGATCTGGCGAAGAAACTCACCTTGTTTATGTTATTACTGCTGTTCCTTCCTGTAATTTACAAGCCGAAGCCAAGCAAGTTGAGATATCTGGAAAAAAGGCAAGAAATTCATTAATGCTGACAATTATATATTAATTAATTTAATGATACTAATAAATAAATGTATAAATAAAATAAACTCGTTTTCATCTGGTTTTGGTTGGTAGGTAAACAGTAGCAAGCAAATCAATAGCAACACTTTATGTTAAAAGAAATCATTTTCAAAAAAAAAGTATCCTTTTTTAAGAAAATGAATAAATTTTGTTATATTTTACATGTAAATATGTGTTAAAATACGAAAATTTCATTTAGTCTATTTACTTTTGTATCACCCTGCATTGCATATTTTGTATTTTTAAAATTATTTGCATACACCCGGAGAACTCCAAAAACAAAATTCCCCTTATAAAAAACAGAAATACACGAATCGGTTCAACGTCTTTGACTTTGTATGCCGCATACAGTTGTTGTCTTTATATTATTGTTGTACTTATTATTGTTTCCATTGTGTTGGGTTGCTTACATACTTAACCAAAGTCGTTGCCACTCGCTGCACAAAAACAACAACAACAGCGTATTACTTTGACAGCACAAAGTTCTCAAGTGAACAACCTGAACATCGGGGAGCGCTACCATAAACGTCAAAGTCAACAAAGCGGGTCAAAACAGGCAAGCGGAAAGTTTTGGGGAGGAGAGAGTTGAGCTATATGTAGGATACATGCAAGTCACAGGTTCTTCAGAAAACGGGGATAGCCCCTGGGCCTAGGTCAATTCAGTGTGGCCCACCCAAAACTTTATCAATTTGGCTTAATTCTTGATAAGCAAACCTGTTATTCTGCTTCATTAAGAATGTAAAAATCACTCAAAAGAATGAGTTGCGATTATACTAATTTGAACAAGTCTTTTAATAGAAATCTTTTAAGCCAAAATCAAATTACGTAATATCTTGAATAACGTAGTATTCAATCCAAACAATGAGTGGGCATTATATTAATGTAAACAAAAATTCAATATGATTTGTTTTTGTTTACTCTATTAAATTGAAAATAATTAAAATATCGTGTTTATCCAGTTGATAAAATTACATAGTAAATGATGCTAAAAATATATTAATGTTACTGAGCACATGAGGTTCTAATACAAATACAACGTAATTGTTTCAAGCACTCAAGTGGAAACCGCCACCATAATTTTCGTATACGTATAGAGGTTTATCAAGGGGCGATTTGTCGTATCGCCAATTCAGAGTTGCCTACGGAGCCCAAACAAAATATTACCGGCAAGTATTATAATGCTCGGTCTGCCACTTTTCAGCGAATGCGAGGAGCTTTTAAATCGCCCAGTCATACTGAGCAGGCACTATAAGAAACTCAGTCCGAGGGATCTTTCGGGCAAACAGACCGACCTACCTTTAAAGAAATAGCCTGTCTCAAGTGCTTTTATTTCTTTCCAAACAAAAAGATAAGGTAATATCTCGGCTGAATGGCGAAATTCAGAGATTGGTAGAAGTCTCAAACGAAATTTAGTTTCGATTTAGCCCGCTAGAAGTGCAGACAAAGAAAATAGAGTCGAAATGATTGGAATTTATCTACTGATCGGTGTAGTATCATTGCTATATGTCTACCTCAAGTGGACATTTAGCTACTGGGATCGAAAGGGTTTCCCCTCCACAGGAGTGAGCATCCCATTTGGTGCTATGGCATCCGTTGCGAAGGGAAAACGATCTTTCGGACTGGCCGTCTACGATATGTACCGATCGACAAAGGAACCGGTGGTTGGATTGTATCTCACCTTGAGACCAGCTCTTCTGATTAGGGATGCTCAACTATCTCGCGATATGGTGACCAAGGATTTTGCCAGTTTTCATGATCGCGGAGTTTATGTCGATGAGGAAAACGACCCCATGTCAGCGGGATTGTTTCAGTTGGAAGGAGCTAGCTGGAGAACTTTACGTGCCAAACTGACGCCTTCTTTTACGTCGGGTAAACTTAAGGCCATGTTTGAAACCTCCGATTCCATTGGAGATAAGTTAGTAGCCAATATTAAGGCTCAACTGCCCCAGGGAGGCAACAAGGAATTCGATATTAAGAAACTAATGTCAACGTAAGTTAAAGGAAGAGGGAAACTTGATTATGTTATATTGATAACATCCCTCTATTAAGATAAGCCTTAACAGAAGGGTAATAACGAGTATAAAACCATAACAAATTCTGGTTTAACCCTTATCGGATATACATATAACGGATAATGATCTTTATAATTCATCCAATAGCTATGCCATCGATATTATTGGCTCGACTATTTTTGGACTTAATGTTGATAGCTTCGCCGATCCTAATAATGAGTTTGTGGCTATTAGCAAGAAGCTCAACCGTAAGACCTTTACGGATATTCTTCGTATAGCAGCACTATTTCTTTATCCTGGGTAAGATAAATAAAAAACTCTTTCTCTCCTTTTTTCACTAAACCTTAACTATATTACACACAGATTGGAAAAGTTATTTGTGAGAATTGGTTGGAAGGTGGAAGCAGCGGAACTGATGCGCGAACTAGCTCATCGAACTGTCGATTTTAGGGAACAGAACAATATAGTTCGCAAGGACTTGCTGCAACTTCTTTTGCAACTTCGCAATCAGGGAAAGATCAACACTGATGATACTAATTGGTCAGCGGAGAGTACCAAAAATGGAGTGAAATCGATGTCAAAGGATGTGATTGCAGGTCAGCTGTTTCTCTTCTATGCAGCCGGTTTCGAAACGACAGCGGCTACAGCATCCTTCACTCTGTACGAGCTTTCTCAAAATCCAGAAGTCATGGAAAAGGCGAAGGAGGATGTGCATAGAGCTATAGAAAATCAAGGCGGAAAGCTGACCTACGATGCCATATCGGATATGAAGTATCTAGAGGCCTGTATCTTAGGTAAGTTTAAAGTAAACTTATTCCACATTTGTAATAATCCTTTTTAACGAACTTACAGAGACCACTCGAAAATACCCCGCACTTCCATTCCTGAACAGAATTTGCACTCAGGATTATCCTGTGCCCGATAGCAAACTAGTAATCAAGAAGGGCACTCCTGTTTTAATCTCTCTACTAGGAATGCATCTCGATTCCGAGTATTTCCCCGATCCGCTTAGTTATCAACCAGAACGCTATCTGGAGGAGAACAAAGACTTTAACCAAGCGGCCTATATGCCTTTTGGTGAGGGACCCAGAATGTGCATAGGTAAAAAGCAAAAAATATATTAATCTGGTAATTGTATAATCTTATCTACAACTAAAAAACTTTGTGGTTTTACAGGCGCCCGCATGGGAAAGGTGAATGTCAAGATTGCGATTGCTAAGGTTTTATCAAATTTTGATGTGGAGATGCGCAAGGAGAAGAGTGAACTTGAATTCGATATTAATGGAGCCTCGCTCAGGCCCAAGCATGGAGTTCCCATACGTCTGTCTCTCAAGAAGTAGAACCATTCTTAAATGAAAGCACCAAAACAAAAAAAAAAGATAATTTATTAATCAAATTTTTAGACCCGATATCATCTGCCAAAAAACATGAGACTTTTGTATGTATTTGTTGTTAGTTTTTGTAAGTGTTTATAAATAAACAAATATATTAAGGGAACGAGTTTATATTCGGACTTATACAAATGGTTTGGGTCTAAAGTAGATACTTGGTTTATTATCAGTTAACAGGAATTTTGACTTAATAATCATTAGTAAATCTACCAGGTATTAATGGTTTATGTTTAATGATTTTCCACGGACTATCAGGTAGATTTTTTGAAGATGTATCCGACGGATTGACGCGTATGACTCATAAACCGCTACTTATGACCATACTTAGGTTAAGCAAAGGCACAAACAACAAACGAATTTTTCTAGGTTAAATACTTTTTAATTACATCAATTTCTATCTATTTAGTAAGCTATCCATAGATAGATATTACAAGTACAATATCCGTTTTCTTCAATTTTTGTTGTCTATATACACAATCAATAATGGCTTTATACAAACTGCGTTCTATAAATAAATGACATAAGCGTCAATACAGATTTCAAAGATTTAAGTCACACAAGACTATTCATGTAAAATGAGTTTATAAAACAAACAAATTTGTTTGCTCACCCGTGTCAAATAAAGAGGTGCAACAAAGGCGGACATTTAAATAATTTGTTCACAAAGTTTCAACTAATTAACAAGTGTATAGTTCCTTTGTTCAACAATTTCATCAAATTCGGTCATATAAAATAATCTGAAAGTCAATCCAAATAATCTCTTGGATTCTTCAAGCACGTTAAGGGAATTGATATTTTTTCGACATAATACTTGATAAAGAACATTACATATATGGGATCAAGTTCTAGTAAAAGTGAATTTATAAGAAATATTGTTTAAAATAATCTATTTTGACCCACAATTTACAGCTTTGAATACAACCAACACTTAATTCACTACATTTTCTTAGGTGTGTCCGCACGTAAAGTCTCTATATATAGATACGTAGTACGTTCTGAGGTTATATGTAACAATTTGCTCTATCATTATCAAGATGCGATCTGTAGTATAGCCATTGCAGTGTTGTCTACCTTCCTCACAGTCCTACCTAACTACAGTGACTGCAAACTTAAACGGCAAATTGTTGTTCCCCGCAGAGAACTTTTAAATCGCCTTGTCACACTGACCAGACACTATATAGATAGTACTCAATCGGAGGGATTTCTAGGCAAACTGACCGACCTACCTCTAAAGGAATCGCTTGCCTAGAGTGTTATTTGTGTACGTCCAAACCTAAAAAAGATAAGGTAATCTGTCTGTTCATATGGCGAAATTGTTTGACACACGCGGCGATTGGGAGAGTTCCCTAACGACTATAAATTGTCGGTCGGCTACGACCGGTTAGTTGCGATTCAGAACGCTAGAAGTTCGGACAGAGAGTGAACAAAATATAATCATAATGATCGGAATATATCTATTGATTGGTGCGGTCACATTACTATATGTCTATCTTAAGTGGACATTTAGCTACTGGGATCGAAAGGGTTTCCCCTCAACGGGGGTGAGCATTCCTTTCGGCGCTATGGAAGCCGTAGCCAAGGGAAAACGTTCCTTCGGATTGGCCATTTACGACATGTATCAATCGACAAAGGAACCGGTGATTGGATTGTATCTCACCTTGAGACCTGCTCTTTTGATCAGAGATGCTCAACTGGCCTACGATGTGCTGACCAAGGACTTTGCCAGCTTCCATGATCGTGGAGTTTATGTGGACGAGAAAAACGATCCGATGTCAGCGAGCTTGTTCCAAATGGAGGGCTCCAGCTGGAAGGGGCTACGAACCAAACTAACTCCCTCGTTTACCTCCGGAAAACTTAAGGCTATGTTCGAGACCTCCGATTCCGTTGGTGATAAGTTAATAGCCAGCATGAAGGCTCAACTTCCTGAAACGGGAAGCAAGGAGCTGGAGCTCAAGAAACTTATGGCAACGTAAGTCAAAGATTCGTACTTGATAATAACTTTGTAAGATAATACATCAAATAGTACTTACTATTACTAATATTTAATCAACGAATCAACTACTTGAAATTCTTTAGTTTATTTGACTCTATTCATTACCGCATCAAAAGACAAGTTTATTTGTCTAAAGATCTTCCGTATACGAGATTCGAATTCAAATTCCGAGTAACATGTGCTACCTTTAAATGTATATGTAGAATTCTCCTAAATACGTAATTTATAACCGCTAATAATTGTTAACTGACTTATCTTATCTAATAGATAACTAATACTGCACTTTATATTTCTCCCCCAGGTATGCCATCGATATTATTGCCACGACTATTTTTGGCCTTGATATTGACAGCTTTGCAGATCCCAACAATGAATTCCAGGCCATTAGCAAAAAAGTTAATCGTAATAACTTTGAAGATATTGTTCGTGGAGCAGCTAGTTTCCTGTATCCCGGGTAAGGTTACAGGGAAGTTTTAAGATGTCAAATCATACTAATATTCATTATGTCATAGCCTGGAGAAGTTCTTTGTGAGGATCGGCTGGAAACAAGAGGCCACAGAAAGGATGCGAGAGTTGTCCAACAGGACCGTCGACCTTAGAGAGGAGAACAATATAGTTCGCAAGGACTTGCTGCAACTCCTTCTGCAACTGCGGAATCAGGGAAAAGTCAACACAGATGATACTGTTTGGTCGGCGGAGAGTACTAAAAATGGAGTGAAATCAATGTCTAAGGATTTGATTGCCGGCCAGCTATTTCTGTTCTACATTGCGGGCTATGAAACGACAGCCTCCACAACATCCTTCACTCTGTACGAACTCACTCAAAATCCGGAAGTGATGGAAAAAGCGAAAGAGGATGTACGCAAAGCTATCGAAAACCATGGCGGAAAGCTGACCTACGATGCCATCTCAGACATGAAGTACCTGGAGGCCTGTATCCTCGGTGAGTTTTGAAAAGAATTAGCAATCCTTTAAAAATAGAGAGACCTGACCTTAAGACAAAAGCAGTTCATATTAGTCTGACAAATATTATTCTTAACGAACACTTTTTTTAATGCTCTTACAGAAACTGCTCGCAAATATCCTGCTCTTCCATTGCTAAACAGGATCTGCACTCAGGACTACCCTGTGCCCGATAGCCAACTAGTAATCAAGAAGGGCACACCTATTATAATCTCTCTTTTCGGAATGCATCGGGATCCCGAGAACTTCCCCGATCCGCTCAGCTACCAACCAGAACGCTATCTCCAGGATAGCAAAAACTATAACCATGCGGCCTATATGCCTTTTGGGGAAGGACCCAGAATGTGCATCGGTAAGAAAAAATTTCGATAAAAGAGGTGAAATCGTTAATATAATTAGTTAGTGGGTTTTACGTTATATGTTATCAAAACAATTGGTAACCGAGCACTATTTAGCTCTGCTTCTTTAAATGAATTGGAACTGAATGTTTAAGATTATGTTTTTGGAACATTTTTCTACATACAGAGTATTAGAAATTTGAAATTTTCGTAAAGTCAAGAACAGAATTTCGATTATAACATGCATATGTATGAACTTTTAAAGACTTCCAATCCAAAACATTGTTTTTAGAATCAAATTTTTTCACTTCTTAGATCTTAAAGCTGGATTTTACTTCATAGACAAGGTCTTAAAGAATCCTTCCTGAAAACTAACGCATTTCTTTCTATATTTCAGGCGCCCGCATGGGAAAGGTGAATGTGAAGATAGCGATTGCCAAGGTTTTGTCGAATTTCGATCTGGAGATCCGCAAGGAAAAGACTGAGATTGAGTTCGGAGTCAATGGAGTGCCGCTGATGCCAAAGTCCGGGGTTCCCGTGCGCCTGTCCCTTAAGAAGTAGAGCCTAGTCTAGCATTTAAACTATGTAAACCTTATAATAAACCTGCAATATGTATAGAAAATATGGACAAACATTTCAATTGGATGCACTTTTCTCTCCCTCTCCCTCTCTCTCACACACACACACACATGCACCCGCGTACGCACCTTTGTAAATGTAAATAGTTTTTGTTCTCTGCTTTACATAAGTCGCCCTATTTACTCGACATTGGGAAGACTTGAAGTAAAATTTGGGTGGTCAGCTGCACTTGATTCTCCCAATTGCCGGGAAATGCACTTTTTCCAGCTATGACAACACAATATGGCCGAAAAAAATACTCTTTCACTTTTTCCAGGCCAAGTTGTGTGAACTGCGCCACACACACGCACACAAACACACGCGCACGCACTGGGGGACACGCACACTGTCGCACTCGCGGCGATGACGCTTTTGTGGCCGCAATGCACTCAATTAACGGGCCTTTTCGCGGCTAATTCGACTGCACTCGTTCGGCGGCGACCCTTGGCTATTACTTTGCAAATTTCCAAGTAAATACGACGAATTTGGCGAATCAGCGAATCACTCGCTTCCCATGCTGCGGCACACACTCACACGCTACCACCCACACGGACGCATGCATATGTTTGACGTTGGTGATCTGGCAACGCTGCGGCAATGCAACTCTGGCTGGCTATCTGGCGGGATCGGCTGTTAATCGCCAAATATTTCATAGCTAACTAGAGATAAATAATTTCAATTGGTTACTTAAAAAATGTTTTCATAACATCATAATTAGCTATATACCAAATATTTATTTATTTTAACATGTAACCAATCAAGGGTTGCTAAAACTCGTATTTAAAAACGATAGCACAAAAAATTTGACGTCTAGTGATTATATATATTTTTTTGAAAATTGAGAACAGTCACTTATTTTAAAATTAAACATGGGTTGAGTATTGCTTTAACCGGTTCTGAAGCCGGTTAACACCGAAATTTTTTTTTAATCATTTGGGCTTTGTAGCTAATTTTATTATTGTTTAGCTATTAAAACTAGCTATTTTCTGTCACCCCCACAGCTGAATGCAGCCCTGTTCGTGATTTTCCTTCGATTGGGTGGCAGCACCCTTGTTTTTCTCTGCTGATGAAAAAGTTGGGAAAATAAAATCAATTAAATTAAAACTGCAGTGAAAACATAGTTCTCAGTGAAAGTGCGGGTGAACCGTATAGAAGGAAAACATAGTTTTTCAAGGGACTTCAAGTGAAAAGACCCCGAGCCCAGCAGGCGTACGTGTGTGTTCGTGCGTAGTCCGTAAACGTCACACGCAAACGAGGCTCACGCACACAGATAAAGAGAGCGGAGCCCGACTATTTACTTTGATCACCACGTACTAACTAGTTTATACTAGTAATTACGGATTCGGACGACATGGATGGCAACAAGGACGAGGCCCAGCGGTGCATTGACTTCGCGGTCCAGGCACTCGCCGAGGGCAAAATCGAAAAGGCCGAGAAGTTCCTGCTGAAGGCGGAAAAACTCTTCCCCACGGACAATGCTAAAAGTAAGGATAACGGATTTTGGGTCTAGAAAACCCCTACTCACATGGCCAGTTCATCCAGTGTTTCTTGGCAAGCCTCTTTCTTGTAATGCCTTTAAAGCGGTTATCTTGAGGGTTCGGTCTTATCTATAAAAACAACAAGAATATGTTTGTTTTCCCGAACCAGTCGTTGGTTAGCTATCGAAAACGGTGTTCCGATTTTAATCTAACCAGATATTAAACTCCTAAGTGCGTAATAAAGGGCCAACTGTCACATGTAAAATTGACTGAATTATACTGGTTGTCCCGATAGCATTAGAAAGGTACTACGTATTAGTGTTGCACAATAGGAAAGTCAATCCATCCAGTTTAAGTCAATAACCTACAATACTAGAGATTTTAGTATTACTCAACAAAGAAACATCTTATAATTTGTAGTAATTTTCAATAATAAAGTCTAACAATGATTAATATAGATTTAACCAGCATAATGCAATGACCTTTGACCTAATGACATGTTTCATTAACACTCTTTAGAGCTACTTGCCCAGGTAAAGAGCACCCCGGGAAGCGGAAGCAATGGCAAATCTCGTCCAGCGGCTGCGAGCGATGAGAAAGACAGCGGTCCTAGAAAACGTGTGAACTCCGATTCACGTTCCAATGCCCCAGATTACACCAATGACCAATTGGAGGCTGTACGAAAGGTCAAGAAGTAAGTGCCATATCGACTACAGAGATTTCTATTAGTTCTTTATTTTTATATACGGTTTCCCGAAAGCTTTTATTTCAATTTTTAATTACTCTCTTTCAGATGCAAGGACTACTATGAAGTTTTGGGCGTGAGCAAGACGGCGACGGACTCGGAGGTCAAGAAGGCCTACAAGAAGCTAGCTCTGCAATTGCATCCGGACAAGAACAAGGCTCCCGGTGCTGTTGAGGCCTTTAAAGCTCTAGGCAATGCAGCTGGTGTCCTCACAGATGCCGAGAAGCGCAAGAACTATGATCTGTATGGCATCAATGAGTCGCACAGTGGACACGGAAATAATGGTGGTCACCATGGACATGGCCAATACTATAACAACGAGTATGGATATTCCCGCGGTTTCCAGGCTGATATCAGTGCCGAGGAGCTCTTCAACATGTTCTTCAACGGTGGATTCCCACAGCAGAACGTCTACATGCGGCAGCAGCGACGTCGTCATCAGGCTCGCGAGGAGCGGGAGGTAAGGGTTAAAGTCAAGAAACCTAAGCCTTGGACCTTGACTTTAATGCAACTTTTTGGTTTGAGCCTCGAAGATAAAACTTTACTTTTCTCTATATTTTCCAGGGCAACAACTCTTCAGCTTTGATCAACTTGCTCCCCATCTTGCTGCTCATTGGACTCTCCATGATGTCGTCCTTCTTTATCTCGGACCCCATGTACAGCCTGACGCCCTCTCAGTAAATAATGCCTTTAAGCCACCAAAATGCAGTACTAATTATGTTTGCCCTTTAACCCTTAGTAAATATTCTGTGAAGCGTGAGACGAACGCCCTGAAGATACCATACTATGTCAAGGACAACTTCTATTCAGAGTATCAGGGCTCGGTGGCCCGATTAGAGGAATCCGTTGAAGAGGACTTTGTCAATCATCTGAAACACTCTTGCAGTCGAGAGCGGAATTATCGTAAGTAAAGCGAGTGAACTTCATAAAACCGAAGTTTAAAAAAAACATAATTTCAGGCGACTCAATGCTGGCCAAGGCGCGCACCTTTGGCGATCGGGACCTGTACAGAAAGGCGCAGAACATCAATACGCCTTCCTGCGAGAATCTGCAAAAGTATTTAATCACATAATTTAGTTAATGCTACTACACGAAATCCTACTTCCTATACCCCATTTTAAACCTTAACTGGGTTGTAGTCTCTACATAATTTGCTTTAGTTGTTATAAATGAATTTCATTGTCTGTTTTGTTTCTTAATTTATATGTCTATTCAACTACCTTCCCTTTCTCCCCCTCACAAAACGAATTGGAACGAAACGCATAGACATGCTATGAGAGATCAGGTTTTCCCTAATAATGTTTGGTAGCATGATCGGTCGATCAACATTATTATTTCGATAGAGCAATCGGCAATATGTGAGAGCGAAGCAAACGCAACTGCCAAAAAGTCATATTTACGAGTATAAGTGGAGGGCCGAGACGAAGGACTATTGTTTTTTCATTTAGAAATCGGATAACTATAAATATAAATTATACAAGGATACGCATGATCACATATTGATAGTAAAATTGTCAACGGTTTTTTCTTAAGGACACGATTGCATGGGCAGTGGCGATACTCTAAATAAAATTGCAAGTTATTACATCAAAAATAAAATCCTTTTAAAAAGGAAAACAACTTGTTTCCGTTGTGGGCTTAAAAGTTTGTTTGTTTTTCTTCGCTAGAGTTTATAAATGTACAAATAAAGCAGTGTTACGCTACATAAAAGAAACAGACGGCGGTTAGTCCTCCAGGTCCTCCAAGCACCTCAGTTGCTGATGATGGCTTCCAAGGCGGCCACCACGTCGCCGCTCTGCTCGCGGAGCACTTTCTCGGCCTGCGCCTTGCTAACTAGCAGCTCGTTCATCTGAAAAGGAGGAAATGCGTGGAAATCATTAACTTGGCTGTTCAGAAGGAGGATAAAGTTTAGAAGATTCGATCCTGACATTTGGGGTAATTTTCTTAATTTTATAAGCTATTCTATTAAATATGATAGGATGGAAAATAATAAAATACAATATTTTTCAGGAGCTTAAATTATTTAGTTTAAAATTCATGGATTCAATAGGGCAATTGATAATGTCCTTAACCGAAAATCAATGCTGGGGAACTGGACAACAAATATTTTAACTATGATAATATTGTTCTGCTCAACAAGTACTGGAAGTTCTTGGACAAAGGATCTAAATTTGGAAAGTAAGTATACCATAAAGTCGACGTGGTGGAAAAGTACCCCACGTAAATATTTCAATATTAGAAAATATTTGAAAAGCAGAAGAACACATTTTAAAGATAATCTAAATCTAATCTATTAAACTAAACTCGGTGAACCTTGTGGTTACTTACAATCAGTTCAATGTCCTCCTTTTTGACTTGGACCTTTTGGAGCTCCTTTTCCTTGGCTACTCGCAGCTCGTTCTCCTTGTTTCGCTGGTTGCCAAACTGTTCCACGGCCTGTAAGTAGAAATACAAGTTAGTATGATCCTTTGAATTATATTGTTTATGTAGTATGTACTAACGCTGGATATATTGGCCGCGGAGATCTCTTTTTCCTCGGCATAATCCGTAACACGTTCCAAATCTGGGGATAAAATAAGATATACATGAGTTATATTTCTGGAGATAAGGCTAAGGTCAACTGCCGGCAATTTTCCCAAAGAGGAAGAGTTCTTTAAACCCAAGGCTCACAACTTAAGATCACTTTAAAATTTAACAATTTTTAAGCGCCAAAAATGTGTGGGCGCTGTAATACATGATATTTCGCCCACATTTGACTCCTTTTCTTGCATTTTTTAGGGGTAGGGTTGAGGGCAACTGAAATATTTACCTGCGGCGCCGTCGTCATGCCGTTTCACATCGGATTTCTTTTGTTTTTGATCCTGCTCATCCTCCTCCACCTCTTCTCTACCATTAATTTCTTCAGCTTCCGTCATTTTCGTCTGTTTTATTTAATAAACTATCAGAAATTTTACGTTTTGTTCGGCACCTCGTGCGAATAGAGATGGCCAACCAGTGATGACACTATCGATAGGATCAAGGTTGTAATCGATTATTAATTATTTTGTATTTTACTTAGTTAAAACTTATATTTATAATTTATATAATTCAAAATGTTAAATTTTCAATCAAAACTCAGTGCATTGGTTAAACACAAATGATTTGATTTGTATCTAAAATAAAAAAACAGCGTTGCCACCTTGTTGCTTTTTAGTCGATGTTCGGTAGCCCTGTCTCTTTGCGCGCTAAGTTCAAAAAGTTTGCTTAATATTTGTACATTTACAACCAAAGGAATAGCAAAATCATCAGAATGCTGAGAAAAATTGTCATTTTTTGGGCTATAACTTTTAAGCCCTTAATTTTGACAAGAAAACAAGAGCCTGAAATGTGAAAGAAACATTTATGTTTTTGGGAAAAATTTAGCCCCTTTAAAAGTTTTATAAAAGTAAATTAATTCTAGAATGTATAAAAAAAAAGTGTGAGAATAAAATAACATTGCCGGAATCTTTTTAAACTAAATAACTAGTTTTATATATACTTTATTTAAATTTGAATACGTCAATGTTTTTGTTAATTGAATTTAAAGACAAAGTTTGTGTGTCAAACCGCAAAACTAATTAAAAACGTCTCGCACATGAAACGTAAGTAACTGCTTTTGGCGTTTTTCTCGTTTTTTTTGCACATTCCAATTTTTGTGTTGCGGTCAAAATGTTAATTATAAGTTTGATGCCCGGCTATAATTAGATTTTGCAACAGCGGAGACATGAATACTTTTCATCCGACATCCTTTTTTTCCTAGTCTCCTGGCGGGGGTCCTCCATGTCCATGTGTGTGTCACTGTGTCCTGTTGACATAATCGTTTGCCATCATGATTAATTTAATTGTCACTTTGACGTAAGGACACTCACAGTTCCTCCTTCTTGCCGGCTTTGCTTGGGTTGAAAATCAAGATTAATTAGCATCCATGACCATGGGCGGTCAACATCATTTGTTAGGGGGTGTGCGTGTGTGCGAGTGGGGGGTGCGATGGGGGTGCGATGGGTCAAAGGATGAGCAAAAAAGGAGGCATCCACGGGGAGGCAACATATGTGCACTGCATTTAATTCGATTTTATTTCGGCAGCAGTGGGTTTTTTCGTCCGAATTTCGCATGCAGAGCGCGAGTGATAGGAAAATAAAAAGAAAAGTGGAGCACGGAAATTCTGGTTCTTCAAGAGCTAAGTTATTGATACCCTGTAAAAGCTAGGATGACATTTTAATCTTTATAAGAATTACATCTTGTTACATTAGCAGTAACTTCTGGGAGTATATTGTGAACAGAAAATACTACAAAATGCATTTTAAATAAGACCAATTTCTAAATCCTAAAAAGTAATTGATTTTTGTAATCAAAATGTTAAACATTTCTGGGAGTATATTCTGAACAAAAACTATAAATTAAATTTCAAAAACAATTTAAACAGTTGAAACAGTTTTACTAGAATATACATTTTAAATAATAAGACCAATTTCTACACTAATCCTAAAATTTAAATGATTTGTTTGTTGTGATAATCATAATGTTTAAAATTTCTGAGAGTATATTCTAAAGACATAGTATAAATTTAAATTCAAAAAAATTTTAACAGTCAAATCAATTTTACTAGAAAATACATTTTAAATACTAAAACATATTTTTATACTAATCCTAAAATTTAATGCAATTTTGTAAAATAAAAATGTGTGATTTTAACAAGTTTAAGACCAGTTTCATTATTAATCCTTAAATTTAATTTATTTTTTTTAATCACAACCTGGCAGGACTAAGAAGTCTTCAAAAGTAATAACAAGTAATAATTAATATTTAAGTTTCTTAACCCTACATATCAAGTTAATAACCCTTTTAAAAGGGTATTCAAAAAGGGAACATGAGTTTTGTTTACCGCAGAATCTCAGCTTAAACGTGGCATATGTGATTGGCAGCAACAGGCGTTGCATTGTCAGAACTCTCTCCGCTTTTCCCACCCAACTCCTTTCAATTTTTCCCACCCAACTCCCACAATTTTTTCGTTGGTCTTGCGTTTGCCAATTTGAAATTAAATTATGGTGCTAATTAGCGCAGCACATAAATTAAGTCAGCAATTTCGGTTGGCATTGTGGTTGGCAATGGCAAATTGAGCGTTGCATATCTACAGGGGCATCCTGTTTCTGTATCCGCAAGTGTGTGTTGGGTGTTGGCACCCAAAAATTCACACAGTAAATTCTTTTTCCATTTTTTTCGGGGGTAAACTCGCTTGCGTGACGTAATTTAACTTGCATTGTCTTCTCGAAGGGCAGAAATTTGTGTCGATTTTGTTGTTTCTGGTGGTTACTTTTACACTCGTTTTTATTGTTTCTTTTTTCGGTTTGCTTGTGGTTTATGTTTTTTTTTTCGCTTGGGTTTTTAAGTGTGCGATACAGATGTAAAGATAGGAAAGACGACACGCCATAAATGTGTTATCAGGATTGTGTAATAATTTAAAGCCCAAGAAATGTTGACAAATGTGTGGATTTTAGTGCTAAGATTATTTAAAATTTTATGTTTTATTTGTAAAATGATGTAGTATGAAAAATAAGTGAGTATTGGGGGGTTTTCTTGCCCTATAATGATTAAGTGATTTTGAATTATAACTATTTATTTGTTTTATTGACACATTTTCCTAGCTACTTATACCATTTTTTAAAGAAATTCAATGCAATGTGTACTTTTATCAGTTGACTTCTTTATTATAAGACTTGGAATTTACATATCTTTTAAGTTTTCCTACATACCCTTTTAATGTAAGCCCAAAAATGTAAATTTTTTGATTATTCTTTAATCCTGAATGATGTTTCTGATGACGAAAAGCAAATTAATTCAAAGATTTGGCAATGAACGTGTGTTCAATCCGGCTCACACCTCCACCAAAAATCATCACTCCTGCTGGCTCAATGAAACCACACTTCCTGCTCCATTTTGGGGATTCCCTTCATGAACTGAATGCACAATGCAATTGACTGCACACACAGTAGCGGTCAACATATTAGCATTGAGTATAAAATATTTATATTTATATAATATATATATTTAAATATATTTTTTGATATATTAAAGAAATACAAGAAAGGTGTTGGTACTATAGAAAATTACATATTTCAAATTTTTCTTTATTTATAGTCAAAATAAAGGGGCTCAGGTTTTCTTAAAAATGATTTTAAATAAGCCTGCAATTTTCATTTGCTATAAGATTTTTCTTGTCCTAGATTTTCGACATCTTCTGTTTAATATGCATTTCTCTGCATGGGTTTTCAGGATGCCATGGCCCATGTCGTCTGTGCCAAATGACATTGGGCTGTGTGGCATCCGTGGCCAGTCAATAAATAAATTAGCATAGCAAATAAATTAAGAAAATGCAATTTTCAAGAACTGTTGCACAGACGGACGCATTCAGCTCCTGCAACCCTAAAAATATCCATTGAAATGCCAATTCAAGGACGGTCTTTAAATTTCGGTTCAGTTTTCCAGTGGCGAACGTTGCCGTTTCTGGCTCATTGCATGCATAATTGGCTAGCAAACTCAATTACGCTAATAACACTCGAAAGCTCGGCTCAAATCTAGTGTGTGTCCTTAAATATTTATGTCTATGGGTGAGCGCTTGACTGACGCCACCAGAAATTATCCTTCTAGCAACCAAAACCAAACCAATTCAACTCAATTCGACTGAAGAAAAAACGAAGATGGAGGCAAATAATTGAGCCATTGAAGGCGCTCCAATGGTCAGCAAAAGTTCCGACTGTAACAGATAGCGAAGTAGGAAAACTTGCTCCTTGCAAGGATATATTTAGTTTGGGCTGCGGACCGGGTTCATCCTTGAGGTGGAGAGGGTCCTTCCGAGTTCGTGTGGCGAAGGCGACCCATTGACGACCTTTATCGGGGTGTACATAAACCATAATCGCAATTGGCAAGTGGTCGCCACTCGAGGAAGCATCCTTTTGGCTATTGTCATGCTTCACAGGATGGACATACAGCCACCGATTTACAGGCATACACGCACAAACGTTACAGAGAGAAAAAAAGGTTTATTTTACTTTTAAATATTAACCAATATAGATAGAACTTTTCCAAAAACGCAGAAATGTTTATTTTAATGCACGCTGTTGATCTATGTGACAAACCCTTATCATTGGACCTTTTATAACATCTCAAAAAATAATATCTGCTTAAAGAGTTTCTTATAAAATGTATATTGTGTGAAATTTCTACTAACATTATTATCCGTCTTATTTTTATCAACTACAGGAAGCAGATATATGTTTAAAAAGAGTTTGGGGTTGGATTTACTGCACCCAAAAAAGGATTTGACCTGCATTTTAGAAATTTGGGCTTATAAATTAGAAACTTATGAACTCCCAATGAATTTGTTTTTAAATAAAGTAAATTTATTAATGAAAAATTCTTTTGCAAATATTTTTAAATTTATAAATTATTATTATATTTTATTATTATTATTATAGTATATTTATAAGTAATTTTATAAAATATGTTTGTATAAAACATGTTTTAAGAAACCTATATTTATTTTAAAAACTTTTTAAGAGGCGGAAACCCTTACTTTTTCTCTCAAATTAATTTTCCATTTTAGAACCTATTGATATTTTAATGCTATAATTTTTTTGAGTGCACTTTCTGGCTCTGGGCATTGGCCAGTTTGGAACGCATCGAACGGAAGCCGCTGCTCATTCATTTAAAACTTGTCTGCAAGTTGCCAAGTTGCTCTCTTCCTCTGCCAATCCGCTGGAAGAAGGTGCAAGCCCTCGAGTTTGTCTGTCGCAAAGTTCCTCTTCCGCCCACTTTTCACCCAACCCACTGCCTCCCGCCCCCTGCCCCCGCCCCCTGCCATAATGTATCCCTGACATTTTGCAACTTTTGCGTTTAACAATTTCGCTTCCTTCCGCTGGCTAAACGGCGCCAGGTTGTCGTGGAAATTTGTTTTAATCGTCATCTTTGCCATCTACGTAAGCGTT